CGGGACCCTCTCATAGAGTTTTTTAGAGCTTTTTTTTAAGAAATTTTTGGAAAAAAGGAATTGTTTTTGGCCTTTTTGCCCCATTTTTTAAAAAATTTTTACAAAGGGGGGGGAAAATTCCTTCCCCTTTACCCCCCCCCCCCCCCCCCCAATGTCTCCCAAAAACACACACACCTGTACCCCCACAGCGCCGCTACTGATCTCTCATCAAAGATATAGTGTTCAGTCACAACCACGAGTGAGCGACTAACATAGTCCTAGTTCTGGACGTAAATAAACAGACTAGTATAGACGTGTATCTGGTGACCCAGAAAAAACCATAACATATATAGATATTTGACCTCTTGATTATTTATATTAGACCTCTTCATTATTTATATTAGACATCATTTGACCTCACTACAGTAATTTACCCTATATACAGTATATGCTGTATTCAGGTGAAAAGATGACCTTTATAACTATGAGGTTAAAATATTATGATCATAGCTTTGATACTTTATGAATAATCCTGAAATAAAAAGGTGTACCGTTTGTGGTGACCCACCAGATAGACTAAAGCAATGAAATTCAATAATTATTGAACCCTGTGAGAAATTGAGGGGTAGCGTCATACCGTAATTGTTGAAATAAAAACTCACTCGGCTTGCTTGGCTTGATAGTTATTTATTTCCTAGTAGTTACTATATATTACCTACACTCACTCACAGATTGAGATTCTCAATGACAAGCCGGTCCGTTCTTGTACTTCAATACGAGTGATAAATAAAACCGTGTCATGTTTGAACAAGCCTCACGGATTTATAAGATTGAAAAGGTCTGTATAATCCAGACTAATGTTCCTAGTTTAGTTTCTGGCACCCAGTCATAAATCTTCTGGTTGTAAACTGGATTAGTCTCGGTTACAGGTTTTTATTTTGCAATAGTCTAGGGACGTTAGTAAAATGAAATGAAATGAATGGAGTTTTACACTCTACTCTTCTGCACCTAATTAGGCTAATGAAGACGGACAACACCATACAGTGTGCAATGAGGGAAATTTTCGACTGTCGGGGCCTCGGTTTCTTGTACCATTCGAACGACAAGACGCTTTTATCTGTGAAACCATAGATCATCTGAACAGAGGCAAGTTGCCAATCTCAATCTAACCGAGTAATCCGGCGAAACGGATAGCGTGCGATGTCAACACTGATAACAGATTTGACACGTCTAGATACATGCACGCAAGTAGGTGCGGAAAATGTCCATTAAACAGGGCCTATTTTTTCAGTCTCAACACCAGCCGACAACTTTCAAAAGATCAATCAGAGGCTAGAATAGACAGATGTTATTGGTGTAGCAAGTGGACGATACAATGTCTACAATCTACAGTATAATTATTTAATCTGATTTTTATATTGCCACTTTTACTATCCAGTATCAGTATCCAGTATCAGTATCAGTATTCAGTATTCAGTATCAGTATTCTGTATCAGTATCCAGTATTCAGTATCAGTATCCAGTATCAGTATCAGTATCAGTATTCAGTATCAGTATTCAGTATCAGTATCAGTATCAGTATTCAGTATTCAGTATCAGTATCAGTATTCAGTATTCAGTATCAGTATTCTGTATCAGTATCCAGTATTCAGTATCAGTATCCAGTATCAGTATCAGTATCAGTATTCAGTATCAGTATTCAGTATCAGTATCAGTATCAGTATTCAGTATTCAGTATCAGTATTCAGTATCAGTATCCAGTATCCAGTATCCAGTATTCAGTATCAGTATCCAGTATCAGTATCCAGTATCCAGTATCAGTATCAGTTTCCAGTATCAGTATCAGTATCAGTATCCAGTATCAGTATCAGTTTCCAGTATCCAGTATCAGTATCAGTTTCCAGTTTCCAGTATCAGTTTCCAGTATCAGTATCAGTTTCCAGTATCCAGTATCCAGTATCAGTATTCAGTATCCAGTATCCAGTATCAGTATCCAGTATCAGTTTCCAGTATCCAGTGAGAGTAAATTTACCAATTCCCAAACTGGGAAGTAGATTCGTTGGTCCTCCCTTTAAATACGCTACAGCTGGGGATAATACTGATTTAAACATGTAGAGATCAAATTTGTATGTTATTTGGTTATTTACTTATATTATATTACATAGTGTCCTGGGGCTCAACTAGATGATTATAGGTTCCCCTTGACTTAACCGGGGTTGGGGCTCCACCCCTGGGAATTTTTATTATTTCTGGGGGGTGGTGGTCCTCCTAGGGGTGGATTAACCAGTACCTATGGTAGTTAAGCCACTGATAGACTGTTACTATGGACGAGTTGAGAGAATTAAAACAATATCTTCTATTTGTAATAAATATATTTATTATAATAATATTAGCATGTTTTATATACATTAACAATCTTATTGTTTCTCTACTGACAACCATTGTACACTGCTATAACCTGCTGGCACCTTCTTCTCCAAAACACAACTCAACCAAATACTCTGATTGGATAGAAAAATTCAATTTAAAATCAATTTTACTGATTGACCAATCAGATGACTGGAACACTAAAATTTCTTTAAGTTTCCAACAATAAGGCCCAAGAAACAAGTTAAAGAGATTGTAAAGAGATTTTCTCATTTTTTTTATGTATATCACGGACACTGATAGCATCAATTTACACCATTTTAATTTTACATCAGTGTTAAACTAAGTGTTTGAAGACGCCCTTCGCAATTAGTGACACTTAGTTTAATTGTAGGAATCACAGACATCTGATGTAAAATTGTAATGATGTAAATTGATTCTATCAGTGTCTCTGATACACATAAAAAATTTCGAAAACCTCTTTACAATCACTTTAAGTCTATAGCAGCGTACATCATCGCTTTGTGTATTAAAGAGAAGTAATTCTATAGAATAAATGGTCAAGAAAAACTCTGTCTTAACAGTCATTTCCGGTCATTTTGGGCTTCAGTGTTTCACCAACATATACAAATTTATCTTGAAAATATACTACCTCTTAGAATGGTCAAAAAATTTAGAATTTCAAACTTGGTCAATATGTGTGTATATTCATCAGTCTTCGGAGGATTTCAAAATGACTTAGTTTTATAGATTTATTAGATTATAGAGAGATTCTGTTGTATAGTTATAACACCAGGTAAGTCTACTGATGAACAAAGACTGATTTTAACCAAGTTTAAAAATTTAAATATTTTGGTCATTCTAAGAGGTAGAATATCTTTAATTAAGTTTAAAAACTAGAAGCTATATCCCTTGCCTAATCAGATTGAATTATAATCAACATATTTACAATACAACTCATGAGACCATTATCAAAATATACAACTTGGTTAGAAATAAAATCTTATTTTAATCTTATATAGAATCAATTTATTTTCTTGTCTTACCAATCCTACCTCAATTTATTTCCTTGTTTCAGGGGAATAAAGCAATTTTCATTTCTGAAACTGTGATTATTAATAAAATATATGATTTTTAATGATATCAATATTGAGATATCAGTCAATCCTCGCTTTCTTGATATTTCTCTCTCAACTTCCCTTCACACAAATATTGATCTTTATTTCTCCTCTTGTCTTTTGTTCCAGAAAAAATCAGTAAAACAAGAAAATGAATTGGTTTGGCCTAATATTAAATTGTTATCGTTGGATTTCAGTAAATAAAATGAATGGAGTTTTACGTCCTGTGTTGATTTCAGTAGAAACGGACACAGTCTTATTAGCAAACTGAAACATTGCAACAAATCCCCAAGTAAAAAAATCAACCTCTTGAATCGAGACCCATATTATAACTGTAAACAACTCCCTGTGGTATAACTATAAACAAACCCCTGGTGGTACAACTATAGACAAGCCCATATTATATAACTATAAACAAACCCCTGGTGGTACAACTATAAACAAGCCCCTGTGGTATAAATATGAACAAGCCCCTGTGGTACAGGATAAATAAGAAAAATACAAATAAATTCCATCAAACCCTCCATAATCTATCTTATGTTGAGGCAGAAGAGCGAATTGTGACCCCAACCACGAAGGGGCACACATAGTGAATATTTTAGAGCATCAGAATTTTGACGTCGATCACATGATTGTTACACGATGGTAGAGGCAGCCATTCTAGACATCACATGATATCAGAATCAAATCTGATTGGTTTAAGAAATATCGATCAACAGACAAAATACACCGGACACAGGCAGACGAACAAATTTAATAAATAATCTGTCCATAATATCTAACATTTCTAATGCCGGTGATTCGTACAGACGTAAAATAACGTCGTCAACATGACTGGGCACACCAGCGGATTGTTTCTAAAATGAAATGAAATGAATGGAGTTTTACGTCCTACTTTTCAGCACCATGTGGGCTAATGAAGACAGCAACTTTTATGAGTGATATAAAAATTTGCGGCGATCGTGCGATAAAATACTCGAACTCAGCATTACAGATAACTTATACAATATATAACTGTCCAATAATAGTGTTACATGATAGTCAAAATTGTTTCCAAGACAAAACTTCAATAGTAGTATATGAACAATATAAATCAAAATTAGATGATAATTTCGTTTCGTTATTATTTTTCATCAGTCCCCATTGTAATCTAACAAGATTTATACCAAGGGTGCGTTCTGTTGAGTTCATTTCAACCAATCATAGCGCATCATGCAGAATCTGTGTCTAACTATCGACTATGAATTGTGGGATGATGCAAGACTGACGATACTGGCTTGTAACAGTGATTCTGATTGGTTGGAGAGTGACATGTGATTGTCTGCTATAAATAGCTTGAAACGTCACTAGAACGTGACCTTAGTATAAATCTTGTTAGATTACAATGGGGACTGATAAAAAGATAACAATAAGGAAACGGAATTGAAATCTTATCTTAATAAGATGGTAGATAAAATGATATGATAATAGCAAGTCCTCAATAAAAACCAAAACAATATTCTCACAAACAAACGAAATGCAAACATGATAAGCTATATTAGTTTAAATCATTTCAAACATAGACACAAAACAGTTCTCTTTATTCAAAGTTATACTACCTCTTAGAATGAACATAAAATTTAAAATCTCAAACTTGGTCAATAAGAGTATATATTTATCAGTTAGACTTACCAGGTGTCATAAATAAACAATAGAATCTCTATATAACATGATATATCTATTAAACTAAATAATTATTGAAATACACTTCTAAACATTTTTCAAAATTACTTAGTTTAATGAATTATTACTTAGTTTAATAGATATGTAGGAACAAAGACTGATTTTAACCAAGTTTAAAAATTTTAATATTTTGGTCATTCTAAGAGGTAGTATAACTTTAAAGTTACAATGAACAGAAATTGAAACTATACATGCCATGCTCCTGGATTAAAAAAAAAAAACACAATATATTTTTGTGGTTTTTGTGTTATGTTTTTTTGAACCTGGTCTATATTTCCTATAAACTAGCTAATATTTAGAGTTATAATGATGTATTTTTATTAGAGTTAAGTTATGTAGAAGAATTAACAAAAAATCTCAAAATATCTTCTTAAAAAAAATGATTTGCTTGAATTAATGAAACTATACACCAAAATCTAGAGAAATTTGACAATTTGAACTAAAAAAATCCTGCCGTTTATTTTTACACCAAAAATTTTTTACGTTTGTTACTCTCTTTGACAGGTGTAAGAAAATAAACAGGTAGAAATATATTGAAGTTTGATAATGAAGATTTTGCTTATCGTTCCTTTAAAATGATTCAAAAGATGTTTTCTGACCGAAATGGTTTGAATGGTTTTTATAACGGTGACTTTATAATCTAATCAATGGAATTGCAGGAACCATAGAAATCACAGGAACCATAGAAATCACAGGAACCATAGAAATACCAGGAACCATAGAAATACCAGGAACCATAGAAATACCAGGAGTAATTGGAATGGTGGAAGTAAACACTATAAATGTCTCTACCTTGATAGATAGGTAAAAAAAACATCATCTAAATCCCTTTAAAATAATACCATCCAATATTTACCACACAAAATACACAATCTTCTTATAATAACTTCAAATTAATTCAACTTAGATCACAATTTCATTTCGTGGTTATTTTGTGGGTCTCCATTGTAATCTAACATGATATATATCAAGGTTGTGTACTGTTCAACCAATCACAGCACGTCATGTAGAATCTGAGTCTAAATATCGACTATGAATTGTGGGATAGCGAAACCTAAAATAGAGTGATATGATATGACCAATGAGATTATGATACTGGCTTGTAACAGTGATTCTGATTGGTTGGAGAGTGATATGTGATTGTCTGCTATAAATAGCTAGAAACATCACTAGAACACAACCTTGGTATAAATCTTGTTAGAACACAATAGAGACTGACAATAATAATCATAAGGAAAAGAAATTGTAAGTTTAATTATATTACAATATAAACTGCTGTTTAAGTCTAGAGTTATCTTCACCTGAACCTTCTCTAGTCCATCTTCAAATTAACATAAATATAACGAACAAATTTCAAGGATGAAAAATAAGAAACTGTCCCTAACATCAGGAAAAACACATAACAAGATAAGAAGGTATAACCGAAGAATTCTATGGTTTGTAATGCCCCAGACATATTTGATCGTTTACAATAGTAGAACAAGGCGTAGATGAACACAAAGATCCCAGTAGACCTGAAAAATACAAAAACATTTTCAATATTATACTTGGTTTCAAATTATAGATATAACTTCTGAACAAATATTACAAATCTGTTTCTTGTATCTTGACTGATTTTTTTGGTCAGGCATGAATTGATCTGATTGTTTCTCATGATGTTGACCTAGATAGTAGTGGCGTGGATCGTGCGCGAAGCAGACCATGCTTACTCTTTTCCAAACATCTGATGGTTCTTTTCTTTGCAGGAGTCCACTACAACACAACTTTTACTCCAGATTTTACAAGATTGTTTTTGCATCTTTCACTTCCTCTTTTATAATATAAATTTTATTTTTGCATTATTAAGTTCCCTTTTTAGGGGTAGGGCCTGTGGACTAGGTTCAACCAGTCCCTGTAGTAGTTGAGTCACTGATAACTTACCCAGCACTAAAGATAGATCTCCACCACCATCGATAATCTTCTGCTGACAGTTGAAAATAGGTCAAGGCCACAGATATACAGGCTGTAACACTGAGCAATATACCATACACAATAAATAAAATACCAAACAGTGTATACTGCTCTCTTCCCCATAGTGTGGCAAATATATAATATAACTCTACTGATATAGCACTGAAATAACAAATATATAATATAACTCTACAGTTATAACACTGAAATAACAAATATATAATATAACTCTACTGATATAGCACTGAAATAACAAATATATAATATAACTCTACTGATATAGCACTGAAATAACAAATATATAATATAACTCTACAGATATAACAAATATATAATATAACTCTACTGATATAGCACTGAAATAACAAATATATAATATAACTCTACAGATATAACAAATATATAATATAACTCTACTGATATAACACTGAAATAACAAATATATAATATAACTCTACTGATATAACACTGAAATAACAAACATATAATATAACTCTACTGATATAGCACTGAAATAACAAATATATAATATAACTCTACAGTTATAACACTGAAATAACAAATATATAATATAACTCTACTGATATAGCACTGAAATAACAAATATATAATATAACTCTACTGATATAGCACTGTAATAACAAATATATAATATAACTCTACAGATATAACAAATATATAATATAACTCTACTGATATAGCACTGAAATAACAAATATATAATATAACTCTACTGATATAGCACTGAAATAACAAATATATAATATAACTCTACAGATATAACAAATATATAATATAACTCTACTGATATAGCACTGAAATAACAAATATATAATATATCTCTACTGATATAGCACTGAAATAACAAATATATAATACAACTCTACTGATATAACACTGAAATAACAAATATATAATATAACTCTACTGATATAGCACTGAAATAACAAATATATAATACAACTCTACTGATATAACACTGAAATAACAAATATATAATACAACTCTACTGATATAACACTGAAATAACAAATATATAATACAACTCTACTGATATAGCACTGTAATAACAAATATATAATACAACTCTACTGATATAACACTGAAATAACAAATATATAATATAACTCTACTGATATAACACTGAAATAACAAATATATAATACAACTCTACAGATATAGCACTGAAATAACAAATATATAATATAACTCTACAGTTATAACACTGAAATAACACAATAATATATAACCTCTAAACATGAACATAAAATTTAAATTTTCAAACTTGGCCAATAAGAGTATAATATATTCATCTTTGAACCTTCCTGGTGAAATAACTATACAACAGAATCCCTTATCTAAAATCTGATAAATCGATTAAACTAAGTAAATATACTTTAAAATACGTAATTATTGAAATAAACTAAAAATACTAACGAAAACAATCCGAACTGAAAAATAAAACCTGACATCCAAACAACATTTTGACCAAACATTGGTAGTAGCTAATGAACTTTTCACATGAGGAAATATATCAATTATAAGTGAGTGAGTATGTAAGCATTTTTCAATAATTACTTAGTTTAATGAATCATTACTTAGTTTAATGAATTATTACTTAGTTTAATGAATTATTACTTAGTTTAATGAAATAATACTTAGTTTAATGAATTATTACTTAGTGTAATGAATTATTACTTAGTTTTAAGAAATATTACTTAGTTTAATGAATTATTACTTAGTTTAATGAATTATTACTTAGTTTTATGAATTATTACTTAGTTTAATGAATTATTACTTAGTGTATTGAATTATTACTTAGTTTAATGAATTATTACTTAGTTTAATGAATTATTACTTAGTTTAATGAATTATTACTTAGTGTAATGAATTATTACTTAGTTTAATGAATTATTAATTAGTTTAATGAATTATTACTTAGTTTAATAAATTATTACTTAGTTTAATGAATTATTACTTGGTTTAATGAATGATTACTTAGTTTAATGAATTATTACTTAGTGTAATGAATTATTACTTAGTTTAATGAATTATTACTTAGTGTAATGAATTATTACTTAGTTTAATGAATGATTACTTAGTTTAATGAATTAATACTTAGTTTAATGAATTATTACTTAGTTTAATGAATTATTACTTAGTTTAATGAATTATTACTTAGTTTAATGAATTATTACTTAGTTTAATGAATTATTACTTAGTTTAATGAATTATTACTTAGTGTAATGAATTATTACTTAGTTTAATGAATTATTACTTAGTTTAATGAATTATTACTTAGTGTAATGAATTATTACTTAGTTTAATGAATGATTACTTAGTTTTATAGATTTATTAGATTATAGAGAGATTCTGTTGTATATTTATAACACTAGGTAAGTCTACTGATGAACAAAGACTCATTTAAATTAAAAAATTTTGGCTTATTATATAAAGTCTTACCTGAATGGTAGAAATCCACCAACTATACAATGAGCGAAACCTGATCTATACCAGGGTACACTGGGAATTTCACGATGAATATTTTTAGTTCGACAGGGTGCATCAAAACCAGCTGCCCAATTTTTACCAAATATTCCACCTATCACTGTTAATGGGTATCCAACTAAAACAATATCAACAACTTTAGTCTAGGTGCTTCTGGGTTAATAAGTATTTTTGGTTTGGAGTCTAATTCTAAATTTTTCCTTTAATGTTCTTGAGAAATATATTGCTTAAAATGTGTGTTGGAGAAAACCATGGTGTATTATCAGCAATCTGTTGTTGTAGCATACTTGGATAACTTAAAGACAAATAGAATCTAAGAGGAAAGTAGGTGGAGCTTAGGTTTGCTACAACCAGTCCATTTTGATGTTATTGCATGGCTGAAGCTCAACCGCTTTCTTCAACAGAACTCGAGCCTTGCACAAGCTTCTATTTCATTGGATAAAACATTAACATGATCAATTCTGTAAGATGTCAATCATTATTATCATTGTCTGTTAGAATTCTATAAAAATACTCACCAAACACCCATAACGCCATGAGTAATACTACTGTTGTCCACGGTAACGCTTGTGTAGTTCCATATCCCCAGGCTACAGAATTAATCAGCGCCCAAACCAGAAAAAACGGCACTAAAGAGAATAGTAAGTATTGTTATCAATAGAAAATATCTTTACAGGTAAAACAATTCCGTCAATCAATATCTGTTATGAATATTAATGTACTGATGAATATCTATGTCGGGCAGTCGACTGTACGTAATCATATTGTTAACTTCTAATAAATACGTCTACATAATGTCTGGTTGATACTTTAACGATATCTTGTTTAAAGTATGGTCATATCAGGAGTAAAAGTTGTCTAACAGTGGACTCCTCTAAAACTAGTCAAGTTGATCAAATAAAAGGCTGCTGTCAGTCTCTATTGTGATCTAACAAGATTTATACCAAGGTTGTGTACTGTTGACATTTCAAACTATCTATAGCAGACAATCATGCACCACTCTCCGGCCAATCAAAATTCCTGTTACAAGTGAGTATCGACAGTTTCATAATCTCATTGGTCATATCATATCACTCTACTTTAGGTTTCTCTATCCCACAATTCATAGTTGATATTTAGACATGGTTTCTGCATGAGATGCTGTGATTGGTTGAAACGAATGTCACCTGTACACGACCTTGGTATAAATCTTGTTAGATTACAATGGAGATAACAAAATACGTAAAGGATATTGTAAACTAAATCTAATTTCATTGGTTAAGACAAGTGATGTTAATAACAGACAAAATATAAATAACTTACAGGCAAACAGTGAGGATGTTAAATTGATATTCCAAACCCAGTTACTTCCTCCCATCTTCCTGAAATTATTGGCAGCTATATAACCACTAATACCTGTAAATATATATATTTTATAGTGAAAAGTGATATCAGGTGTCTATAAGAGTAAACATACCCTGTCTGGTACAACAAATCTAATGAAGTATATCAATTATAACTGAGTATTTCATAATGAAAAGTGGTATCAGGTGTCTAGAAGAGTAAACATACCCTGTCTGGCACAACAAATCTAATGAAGTATATCAATTATAAGTGAGTATGTATTTCATAATGAAAAGTGGTATCAGGTGTCTAGAAGAGTAAGCATACCCTGTCTGGTGCCACACCTGTCATAGCTGCCTAGCATACACAACGAACATTACAAATAGGACGACAACAAAAATTTGACCAATGAATTTGAAAACTTCTATAATCAGAAAATCTATATTTAGTGTGACTCTAGGAAAGAAAATGTTCAATAAAACAAGTTGAAACAGAGTTCAGAACGCATTCCACAATAGTAGGTACAGACAGAATTTAAGATAGCTTGCAAGGCAAGGTAATATACGCCCACTGGCAGCTTTGATTTTAAATAAAAATATTTGGCAGTACAGTAACAATCACCAGTATGAATTATTCAACCTTCATCCTGAAAACGTGTTCAATCTTTAGCTTGTTAAAACTCTAGAAGACAAATATTCAATCTCCAGCACGGTAATGAATAATAAAACCAAGTTTTGTCAAAATCCAGCAAGAAACATGCCTTTTAGAGTTTTTATGAGCTACAAATTGAACAAGTTTTCAAGATCAAGGGCAATTACTCATACTCAATATTTTTCAATTCTTCTGATTTTCAATAGGGTTCATCCTTGGGTGATAACCAACACTCAAGCCAAATTTTGTTAAAAACCGTCAAGAATTGTCCCTTCTAGAGTGTTTACAAGCTAAAATTTGAACGCGTTTTCAAGAAGAAGGGCAATAACTCATACTAAACATTTTTCAATTTTACATTTTTCATTACAGATTATCCATGGGTGATAACCACCACTCATGCCAAGTTTTGTCAATATCCGTCAAGAATTGTGCCTTCTAGAGTGTCTACAAGCTAAAATTGAACGCATTTTCAAGAACAAGGGCAATAACTCATACTAAACATTTTTCAATTTTTTCTGATTTTCGATAGGGTTCATCCTTGGGTGATAACCAACACTCAAGCCAAATTTCGTTAAAAACCGTCAAGAATGGTCCCTTCTAGAGTGTTTACAAGCTAAAATTGAACGCATTTTCAAGAACAAGGGCAATAACTCATACTAAACATTTTTCAATTTTTCTGATTTTCGATGGTTTATCCTTGGGTGATTACAAACACTCATACCAAGTTTCATTAAAATCTGTCATGAATTGCACCTCCTAGAGTGTTTACGAGTATTTCAAGAACAAGGGCAATAACTCATAGTAAATATTTTTCGATGCGTCTGATTTTCAATAAAGTTCATCCTTGGGTGATTACAAACGATCATCCAAGTTTCGTCGAAATCAGTCAAGAATTGTGCCTTGTAGAGTGTTTACAAGCAATTCTGGGCGGACGGACGGAAAGAGGTGACGGCAATATACGCCCCCCATTTCATGTGGGCGTATAAAAATAGTAGGATGAAGGAAATAAATGAGAAAACAGACGGAACCTGTTGAGAATTCTACAATCTAGCACCACCCTATTGACAACAAAGAGAGCTTGCCAGGCAAGGTAACATACGCCCACTACCAGATGTCAGAAATGATAACAAAGTCTGTAGGGGTTTAATATGTGAAACTTATCATCCAATTTTTACTAATTTCAAGCTTTACTGTGATCTCATACCAAGTTTCATCAAGATCATATAAAAACTGCACCCTGTATAATGACTACAAGCCAAATCTGAAGCCTTTTTACTAAGTCAAGGGCAATAACTCTGAAACCGTTCATCCGATTATTACCAATTTCGAACTTGCCCGAGATCTCATCAATATATACATGCATACCAAATTTCATCAAGATCGATAAAAACTGTTGTCTCTATCGCGCCTACAAGAAATATGGACGGATGGACCAACAGCAATATACATCCACATTTCCATGTGGGCGTCTAATAAACAATATACTTACATGATGTGAAAGCATATAAAACAATTCCTGCTGAATTGATGGAACCATGACGATGAACATTAAACATTCCCAACATAGCCATTAATAATATTCCTGTAGCTAGAGCTAAAAACTGACTACCAACACCTGAAATATAAATAACTATTAGTAATATTCCTGTAGCTAGAGCTAAAAACTGACTACCAACACCTGAAATATAAATAACTATTAGTAATATTCCTGTAGCTAGAGTTAAAAACTGACTACCAACACCTGAAATATAAATAACTATTAGTAATATTCCTATAGCGAGAGCTAAAAACTGACTACCAACACCTGAAATATAAATAACTATTAGTAATATTCCTGTAGCTAGAGTTAAAAACTGACTACCAACACCTGAAATATAAATAACTATTAGTAATATTCCTGTAGCTAGAGCTAAAAACTGACTACCAACACCTGAAATATAAATAACTATTAGTAATATTCCTGTAGCTAGAGTTAAAAACTGACTACCAACACCTGAAATATAAATAACTATTAGTAATATTCCTATAGCTAGAGCTAAAAACTGACTACCAACACCTGAAATATAAATAACTATTAGTAATATTCCTATAGCGAGAGCTAAAAGCTGACTACCAACACCTGAAATATAAATAACTATTAGTAATATTCCTGTAGCTAGAGCTAAAAACTGACTACCAACACCTGAAATATAAATAACTATTAGTAATATTCCTGTAGCTAGAGTTAAAAACTGACTACCAACACCTGAAATATAAATAACTATTAGTAATATTCCTGTAGCTAGAGCTAAAAACTGACTACCAACACCTGAAATATAAATAACTATTAGTAATATTCCTGTAGCTAGAGTTAAAAACTGACTACCAACACCTGAAATATAAATAACTATTAGTAATATTCCTGTAGCTAGAGTTAAAAACTGACTACCAACACCTGAAATATAAATAACTATTAGTAATATTCCTGTAGCTAGAGTTAAAAACTGACTACCAACACCTGAAATATAAATAACTATTAGTAATATTCCTGTAGCTAGAGCTAAAAACTGACTACCAACACCTGAAATATAAATAACTATTAGTAATATTCCTGTAGCTAGAGCTAAAAACTGACTACCAACACCTGAAATATAAATAACTATTAGTAATATTCCTGTAGCTAGAGTTAAAAACTGACTACCAACACCTGAAATATAAATAACTATTAGTAATATTCCTGTAGCTAGAGTTAAAAACTGACTACCAACACCTGAAATATAAATAACTATTAGTAATATTCCTGTAGCTAGAGCTAAAAACTGACTACCAACACCTGAAATATAAATAACTATTAGTAATATTCCTGTAGCTAGAGTTAAAAACTGACTACCAACACCTGAAATACTATCATTAAATTAAAAGAGATCGAAAGAGGTTGTCTTAATTTTTTTTGTATATCAGAGACACTGATAGCTTTAATTTACATCATTATAATTCTGTGGTTCCTGCAACTCCACTAAAACTAAGTGTTTGATGGCATCACTAATTGCATAGGGCCTTCTGTGATACAAGCAAACTTCATGACTAGTGACGTCATCAAACACTTAGTTTTAGTAGAATTACAAGAACCACAGATGTCTGATTGAAAATTAGAATGGTGTAAATTGATGCTATCAGTGTCTCTGATACACATAAAAAATTAAGAAAACCTCTTTACAATCACTTTAAAAAAAACCTGGACTTTTCAATTGAATACAGTAATAAAAACATTACCTAATATCGCACAAAAGAGATTTTTTTGAGGTGGAAATCGGAAAACGTCAGTGTGGATGATTTTCCAGCCATTATCATCTTGATCTAGGTCATCATTATCATCATCATCTAGATTATAACGCGCAAAATCACTTTTTAATACTCGCGTCTGAAAACAAATAATAAAAAATTACAGGAGTGGAGTTTTACATCCTACTTTTCTGCACCAAGTGGGTTAATGAAGACGGGCAACGCCATGCAGTGTGCAATGAAGGAAATTTTGCCAAGACAGTGAATGCTCTTTGTCAATTTCCAACTGTCGAGAGATTTTTAATGTATACAGCCGTGTAACACACAGGGCCTCGATTTTTCCATCTAGACGCTTTTTCCAGTTACTTTTTTAAAAAATGGTCTAGTTTTCAAAAATACTCAAAACCATGCAATGCCACCATCTCCCCAAATGCACAAATTGATGGTTGTGAATACGCTAGACTAAGCTAGCTAAATTTCCCTCATTGCACACTGCAAGTCGTCTTCAATAGACAATTTGTCCCATCCAGTCACTAATTCACTTAGAATCTGCTGCCATGTTTTACCCACAAACATCTGAGTGATATTAATATAATATAATTATTAATGATTTGTGTGTATCTGATACAATGGTGTTGAGATGTGGAAGGGGGTATTTGTAATACAGATGAAAGATATCAGTAAGATTAGAGGGATATTAATATAATATAATTTTTAATGATTTGTGTGTATCTGATACAATGGTGTTGAGATGTGGAAGGGGGTACTTGTAATACAGATGAAAGATATGAGTAAGATTGGAGGGATATTAATATAATATAATTTTTAATGATTTGTGTGTATCTGATA